GCAGACCAGCTTCCACCCAGTCTATTGTAGTTGTCTGGAAGAACTTGGTCGACTTAAACGAACGGAATAAGTAGCGTTTCTTCTGCGGTTTCGGTGGCCTGTGCTTCAGAGCGTTCAGCACGAAGTATTTCAATAGTTTCTGATAACTGACTCGCACTTTTACAGGTTGTCCAGGCGGGCAATGCTCCCTGTACCACGATTTGACTAATGGGATGTCAATAGCTCTTCTCGTTCTACCGGAACGTGTGTTGAATGGTCTTGGCGCCCATAGAAGTGCTATTCCATTTGCTGTGTTATCGGTATAAAGAGGTATCTCTTGAAGAAACGGTTGCACGTCACCAGGTAAAACAAAATCTTCATCGTCCTCGATTTGTGGTTCTATCGTCTGCAAAGAATTAATCAAATATAAATTAATGTATAAATTATATAACTTATCTAATTTAAAAGTTAAAAACTCACCTTTAGCGAATTTCTATGAGAAATTGGATTAATTAATGGATCAAAGTAGAATGCAGGCAAATCTGGATCTTCGGTCTTTATGTATACAACATTTGGTGCATGATACCTGAAATCATACATTAATTAGTAGGGAAAATGCATATCATGCAAAAATATATAAAATTAATATTTTTATTTAAAAAAGTGTTTTGTAAGTGATATCAGCGATTTCTTTTTATAATCTTTATAAAAGAGATGAATAACAAATCACTAGACTTTCTTTACCACACTGCTAGTAAGACCTTTAGATACTAATACGAAGATCTTAAAACTTGTGTGGAATACATAAAAAAAAATTAAAGAAATAATATCACTATGTTTGACTCACCATGAAAGATGCACAAAATGCGGCATATTATTGTACAAATAAGGAAACGCAATTCTATATTCAGTTCTAATAGGCTGTCTAATAATGATCTTATTTATGTCATTGAACTCATTCCAGTCTTCATCAGCGGCATTCGAATCTTTTACCAACGGCTCAAATTTCGGTCCTCCAGGAATAGCCATATTTAGGGCTTTTGCGGTAAAGAATGACTTGGGATCAAACAGATAAAAGAAATTTTGATCTACCAAATCGGTTAACAATTGATTAGCCAAACGGTACAGAGTGGCCATTTGCGGTAGCGTCAGATTCCATTTCCGGTATGTAGACCCATTAACATGTCTGCAACATATTTTATCACATTCAGATTCTATATTATGTAAGCAATAAAACAGCAAATTCTTAAAAGTATATTTTTTCAGCCTAGCAGTTTTTCCAACTGGAATCTCCTGTATACATTAATATACAGGAATCCAAGTTGTCAACTCACATGTCCAGTTGATTTCAGGACCCCTACGCTTTTCATCATTAAAGAGCAAATAGGTCAAGAACATAAAATCTTGTTTTTCTCTTGTAATTTTTTATATGTGTAAACTCAAACTTACTTTGTCCCGACCAAGGGTTTGTGTTCGTAAAACCATGTTGCCACAGATTCGTCTTCCTCTGAATCAAGTTCAATTTGTATAGCTTCTAATGGTTCAACATCTAAAACGTTATCTGCATAATCTAGAGGAGGCTCTTCGTCATCGAAAGGTGGGAATCTCATTCTCTTAAAATGCCTACGATCTCTTTTTTCTCGTCTCATCATGATCCACATAGTGCTGAAATGAAATTGAAACTTTTAATATGAATTATATATATCTTTTTATACATTTTTATATATTACATAAATAATATAATATTAAATAATGACAAGATTGCATCTTACCCCCATTGAGCTATGTATACAGGTTCTATAACCCAGGGAATCTCATTGACAAATGTAATGGCTCCAGTAATATGATACAAGACCTTTACATCCCTTATTTGTTCCCACGGCATAGGCATATTTTCCAGCAATTTCATAACGGCATGTGGCATGTACTTTAACGCTCTGTAATAGAAATATATTTATAGAAAGTCTGATTGATATACAGAGCTTTTTACAACTTACCCCAAGTAAACGCGTTTATCATGTCGATACTTTCTACTGCTCATATCACCATGATCTCTGATGATCTTCCTTATATGCTCAGCTGGCATATCTTCCTTCTGTGCATCTACAAAGCCAAACTTCCTCTTCTCCGCAAACCGCTTTGATTGCAACTGCTGCCATTTTTGTGCTAGAACAGATAAGATTACCATTGTAAAAAAATACTATGTAAAAATAAAAGAAACAAGCGTTACCTTTTTCCTGCAGTTTGTCCTCGGACAAGACTTCCGGTTGTTTAGGCATCTGAGGTAACGGCGGTCCAGCTATGGCCTGCATATGAGCATGATGAGCGGCTTGTGCATGAGCCGCAGCCTGATGAGCGTGTACTTGGGCCGCCAGCTGGGCCTGCTGCTGGGCCTGATGCATCATCGTGGCCCATGGATTCGGGCTCAACAAATACGGTGGGATGGACATGATTGCGACTGTTTTCTAACCACAAAAAACAAGATAAATAAATAAAATTCTCAATCGATTTTCTCCGATATACATTGGCACTTTCTTTGTGTAAAACGCAAATTTAAAATATTTCGGATTTAAATCCTCAGATCTGAATTACGGCGCTACGTGGCGGAAATCAATTATTTCAAGCGGAATTTCTGCCGCCGGAACTTGTCGGAATAGGTTGGAACGCGTCCGACCGCGCGGTAGAAATTGTATACACATTACGCGTATGTACAAACTAATAGTATTCGGTAGATACTTGGATGAAAAGATTGCACGTACAGCTTTACACTATGTTCATAAATTTCTACGTGACGCCTCACGCCATATCACGTAAAATCAATTCATCACTTTACATCGACGATCGGCTCCTTTTTCGCATTCGCTGTAATGGCTTCGATTTCTTACGACTGTGCTTAAAACATGAAAGAGAGGGAAACGTATCTTCACGTTGCACATCTGTATCTCCCTAGAAACTTCCTGGAACAGCCAATAAGAAGGGATGGCACCCGATTGACCGCCAGCCACTCGCAGCGCTTGAACAGTGGACAAATCTCTAGGCACCGGCCGCTGTGAGTGGCTGACAGCTATAGTCATCGCAACGTGGTCAAATGTGATGTGAATAATTCGGCGTGCAAAAAATGCATAATAATATCCGTATCAAATTAAAAATTAAGATTGAAATTAAGGAATTCGATCAATCAGAGCGAAGTTTATTGAATTTGAGGTTGGTTTCCTTTTTTCTAACTGGTTAAGTTCTAACCTATTTCCCAATCCGAATCTTTAACCTAATACAGGCATAAGGTCTGTTCGTGTTGCACTCTTTGCACTCAGAATCTTCGCTTTCTCTCTCTCTTTTCAACGCTAAAATATACATCTATCTCGATTTAAGTACAATAATTTTTATTGAAGATTTCAAATAACGCGAATAAATTTACAAACTTTATTTGCGATTCTCCGAACCACGTGAAGAACTCAAAAAACCTTCAACGATTACTGATTTCAGTCAAAATAAACTCGATCGGATCGAAATATTCAAAAAGTTCATTAGAAAAGTCACAATCGAAGCACGTCTCAATTGAACACGATATGTAATTTCCAAGCGAATGTCATATGTAGAATTTAAATCAGGTTGTAACTGGGTGGTTCAGAGAAATTCGTGTCTCTCTTTGACGTAAAGAAAAAAAAATTGAATTGAAAACGAGGAAAGCAGAGGTAAGGAGGAAAAATAATGAAAAAAGAATGGATATTTAAATTGAGGGTGGTGGCGGAGAAGTGAAGGAGAGAGCTGGCCTCGTGCCGTTCGCTTGCGCTGTAATACGCTCATGTGATATATTTACGTCGCGCGATGCTACGTATCTGACATATTTATTATACGTGGAACGTGTGCTCCGGAGATATTATGTGTAATATATGTACATATGTATATGTACGCGTGTATATACATATGTATACATACGTGTCGTGTGGCACGTCATAAGTGAATTGACAGTAATTAATAGTGATAAACGGTGCGAAGGTTGGGGGAGCCTCGCGAGACTTGTATTAAAATTGTTTATTACTTTCACTTCCCCCCTCCCCCTCCCCACAATGATATAGGAAAAAAAGTCGTCGTACATACTGTGATTTCCACCTGGCTGTACATATATCGAAATTAAGATCTTAAAAGTTGAGAAGGTAAATTTATATTTACGTGAGACAATTCCGTTGTTTTACGTAGGCACGCTAAGAAAAAAGGGCGATGTAGAATTAAAATTTCAAGGATTGCAATTATAAAGCATTTTCGATGTATTTTCAGATGTGAAACTTGTGAGACGTTCTTTCTCGATTACAATATGTTGTAACCAATAAATTCGATCGGAATGTTACTTTAATTGAGTTTAACGAGCTTCTAGCATGAGTCTACAATTTTTAGTACAATTATCGCTGTAATTTAGAGTCTTTATTTTACAATGGATTAGCAATGTTGGTTAGGTAATCTTTGAGCATGATATTGCTGATACAAAGCGTAATGTGACTTGTTAAAATGTATGACGTAATAATGAACGATTTGCCAATTAGTTATCCGTTATTACTTGCAGAATTTTATTTTGTATTTTACAGCAGCATAATTTCAATTGGTTTGCGTTACTTGTATGTTCTACGACACGTGCTTGCACACTGTAAAAATATAAGTGAACAGGAATTTAAATCCTCTTTATTTTAATGCTTTAACTTTTTGTAATTTAATAATAAAGTCGAAATTTAGTTTATACGCATTGGAGTTAAAATAAGAGCACATAACCTTACAGATACGAGTTTATTTGCGACGAGTTTTACTAGTTTAGATTCTAGTCTTTGTTTTATGTGAACATTACTTAATGAAAGCTCACACTTATAATTTTTATCTTGCAGAGTAAATATTAACTATTAACTAAGGAATATGTAGTAAGTATTTAAGTAATGTTACACTTATTTGTCACATAGAATGTGAGATAGTGACTGCATGATGTAAAACATAAGTTGTTATTGTTTCCAAGTTTCTTTGCTTTTAATTGTAGAGTAAAATTATTAAGATAGTTATTAACTAATTAATGAGACAGTTATCAATTATATTAGTAGAGACAAGATGAGATAGTTTGTTAAAGAAGGAACAGTAATTCTAGAAAGTAATCTAACTTTATAATGGCTTGACCTTTGACTTAAAATAGCTCATCTGCCTTGTAACATGTTTTTCACTGATAATGCCAGTTTCTCTTTTAATTCTTTTTGTTATGCGCGATTATTTCATGTTTACTGCAGTAACATTACAATCCATATAATGGAGAAGACTCATGAACTCACACAATACAAGTCTACAATTATAAAGCACAATACAATTATAAATATTGAAATTGATACTAATCTGACTAAAGTAAATTGTTGTGGATCATTGTTTTCTATAATAATGAATAAAGAAACTTTATTTTACATTACTATTTCGTTTTGTGCAATGATACATAAGGATTTGCAAAATAATATATTTTTTTATATTGTAAGAAGGAATTTGTGAGATGTATAATTTTTAAATTACAGGAAAAAAAAATATTTGAAAGCTAAGTAAATTGTTAGTGAACATAAATTACATAAATATGTTGCACTTTTTGTTTACAGATTAACCATTTAGAGAATATCATGTTGGGTAATTCTACTGCCATTCAACGTCCGAAAGATCAAGCTTCTACTAATGGAACTCAAAGAAGCGCTGGAAAAAGAATATCTGCTCCAACGATGGAACATAATTCAAGTCATCCACACAATGTTTCAAATTTGGATCCGGATCATTTAACAATCTTCAAACATCCAATTACAACGTTGCATTATTTCTTGAACGAACTGTTTATTAATGTGATTAGTTTAGCGAAGAAAACGTTGCTCTACAAACGAACTGTATGCGTTATGATTTCAATTATAATATTATTTCTTCTGTCGGGCAGAATCTCTGGTCCCCAACAAGAGGTATGTTGGGCTACTTATAAACTTTTGATACATGTTAATACAATTATTATTTTGCATATATTTTTTTGTTCAATTTTTTGTTGTTTAATTAGTCTACCTTTTCTATAAAACGTTGAAATATTTAAAGCTTTAAGTTACAAGTGGATTAAAAAGGGAAATTTTTTTTAAATTAAGTTCTAAGGAAAGAATTATATACAATTACATTAATCACAATTATATTAGTTATTTGATTATTTAGCTTAATATAAAATGATTTATTTCATTTTCAGATTTTTAAATTGTGGGAGACCAAAATTATATGGTGGTTATATTGGGTAGGATTAGGTGTATTATCAAGTGTAGGCCTTGGAACAGGTTTGCATACCTTTGTATTATACTTAGGACCGCACATAGCAGCCGTTACTATGGCAGCGTATGAATGTGGTGCTTTGAATTTTCCCGAACCACCATATCCTGACCAAATAATATGTCCAACAAAGATCGATCCAATGTGGACAGTAGGTATATTAAATATTATGAAAAAAGTGCGCGTGGAAGCCATGTTGTGGGGAGCTGGTACTGCGCTTGGCGAATTACCACCGTATTTTATGGCCAGAGCGGCAAGAATGAGTGGGAAGGATAGTAAGAATGAAAATTTCGATCAAGAGGATCTGAAAGAGTTAGAAGCTTTGGAAGCGTTAGAAAATGGAGAGAACGTATCGTTTGTAATGCGTATCAAATTAAAAATGAAACGATTTGTCGAAAAAGCTGGATTCTGGGGCATATTAGCGTGTGCCTCGGTATGTATGTACATAAGTGAACCTTGTTTCTTTTTCTATTCACAAAAGATTCTTCAAGTAGTTATTTTAATATGATTTTTCTTTTTTTTCCATGTTGAATGTATTATAATAAACTTTTACAGATTCCAAATCCATTGTTCGACCTCGCTGGTTTGACGTGTGGACATTATCTCATTCCATTTTGGACATTCTTCGGTGCAACTCTTGTAGGAAAGGCTGTTATTAAAATGCACATACAGCAATTAGCAGTGATCATAGCCTTCAATGATGAACTTTTAGATAAATTTATTAGCCTGTTAGCAATAGTACCGTTTGTTGGTACAAAATTCCAAGAACCATTAAAGAAATATTTCATTGCGCAGAAACAGAAACTACACGATAAGTCATCTATGGTGAGTTGTCAAGGTTTTACAAGGTTCAGATGCATAACGTTTAACTTTATTTTGAAACAAGCTTGTGTTTTTGCAGGACGGAGCGACTACAATATCATGGCTGTTCGACAAATTTGTGTTGTTGATGGTTGCTTATTTCTTGGTGACAATTGTTCACGCACTAGCGCGAAATCATCATCGTAGACGAACTAAGCCAGCCATCGATTAAAACTTATAAAAGACATAGGATAGAAATATGAAATTAGTTCCACTGCAACATTTATATATAGATAAAACATAATTCCTTTTTAACAGGACAAGAAAAATAAGAGGATACAAGGAATGTGTTGAAATTTCACACAATTTCAGTGTTACATAATTACGATAGAATCGTTTTGTACACGACAATGCAATCTTAAGCGACTTTATTCTGTTTTTATTTTTGTCTAAATGTACGTTCTCATTGGTTAGAATACTTTGTAAAAATATCTGTTGCAAGGATATCCTGTTATATAGATGTCTACATCTGCGTGTGTGCGCGCGCGCGCGCGCGCGTATGAGTGGTGTGCGTGTGTGTGTGTATATAGACACTGAGTCTTTTATAAGCAAGATTTTATGTACAGTGCATGAAACAAATATCTAATGATATTCTACAACTTTCCTGCACAATCAATTGATATTCAAGCTTCTGCGTATTACATCGATAGCAAGAATTGAATTAAAAGGTTTGCGAGTGATGAAAAAAAATCCTGTAATCAATAAAATTATAATAGTATATCTAGCCAAATTTCTATAAGTTTTGTATAATATGCGTTTTAAGCATACACAAAGAGTGCGATATGAATCTTGAATTATCAACCCATTTTTCGCATTAATAAAAGAATATGTAATAATTGACTGATACAAAAAACGAATAGATTATTATGAATAATAGAGAAATTAAATACTACAAGATATGAATATGAATTTATTATTATTGTGAAATATATGAAAATGTTTCAATTTTTTTTATTATGAATAATTATGAATATACAGGGTGTATCTTAAATCTTAAATAGCACTTATTAATTACATGTACAATAGCGTTATTTCTTATAAAAAACTGAATTGAAAAGTTTTGAACCAATATTTTTTTCTACAATGCTAAAGGAAACGATCACTATTGCAGTGATTATTGTTTTATTGAGCATTATAAAAAAGTGGTTCAGGACTTTTTGACTCAATTTTTTATAATGAATAGTGTTATATTAGCGAGCATTTAAGAACTATTATTCTTCACAATGTTCAATGAAGCAGCAATTAACTATAACAGTTGTAATCATTTTATTGAGCATTGCAGAAAAAAATGGTTCGGAATTTTTCAACTCAATTTTTTACAAAGAATTACGCTATATAGTCGGTGCTATTTAAAATACACTCTGCAGTATACTATCAGAGAGGATCCTCTCTGATACTATTATTGTAAAACATAAAATAAAAAGATTTTTTAATAAAATTATAAATATCAAATATTATAATAGAAGAAAATAATTTGTAGAAAATTTGGTTTGTTCCTTTTTAACTCTGAAGTTTTTAAGTTTTTAACAATAAATTTTATTATTCGTGTTTTTAATTTTTATACTTAAATTATAGTGACCTACTGACTGGCGCAAAATAGTTTAGATGAATGAATTCCCTAGTGCCGTAGAGAAGAAATAATTGAGAAATTGGCAAAAGTGTTTCGCGCATCTAAAATGTATGATTTTACTAACCTCTTTAGATTTTACGTTTGCACGTGAGTGAGATGCGCATCTAACCTCGTATGACTTGTGTAAATTTCATTTAATGTCGAAGACAATGGGACAGAAAAAAGTCTCGAAGAGAAAATATGTTAATTCGAAATTGGAAGAAAATAAAAATGAAATTAAAAAGGATGTACATGTTCCAGATAAAGCAAAGGTATTGTCTATTGTTGGTGTTATACATTTCTACACGTGCTTTCGTTTTATTGTTTTATATAATTAAAAAATGTAATTATTAACATAACATTATAATTATAATAAATTTTAAATGTTTTCTTAATGACTTAGCACTCTGACATGGAAGATTTGATAGCAGCTCAAATCAATATTGATGAAGACGCCACGGATGAAGAAGTAGAAGAAGACGCGGTTGTACCTAGTTCAGACGAAGAAGTAGAAGAAGATAAAGTTATATTTGATTCAGATGTGGACGATGATTCCGAGGATAATGAAGATAGTGAGGATAATGAAGATACCGAGGATAATGAAGATAGTGAGGATAATGAAGATACCGAGTCGGAAAGCAGTTTTTATGAAGATGTACAAGAAGATTCATCAATCAAATCAAAAGATAAATTAAAAAATAAAAGTAAAAGCAAAGAACCTCCAACATTTAAAGGCAAGACATCAACAAAAAAAGTTACGCCAATAATTAACGAATTGAAAAACAATAATCGCAAGGATTTTGATAAATCACAGGTGCATAAAGATAATGCACATAATGAACAAAAAACTAAAAGTATATCTAACAATGACGAAGACGAATATGTACATGATAGTTCTGATGAGGAAGATATTCGTAACACAATTGGGAATGTACCAATGAAGTGGTATGACGAATTTGATCATGTTGGATATGATTGGGAAGGCAAAAAGATTTCTAAACCTGAGAAGGGTGATGAATTGGACAACTTTTTGAAAAGAATGGAGGATCCCGACTTCTGGAGAACTATAAAAGATCCTCAAACTGGTCAGGATGTTGTGCTGAGCGAAGCGGATGTAGATTTAATTGTCAGAATTCAAAAGCAGAAAATTCCTGATGTTCAATTTGATGAATATACAGTAAGTTGTTCACAATATTTATTTATTATAATTTAATTTGAAGATTATTATGTGCTATGCAAGAATGATGTTAATTACTTTTATGCATTTGTAAATTGCAGCCATGGGTGGATTGGTTCACTTCTGAAGTAATGAAAACGCCACTTCGCAAATTCCCAGAGCATAAACGTTCTTTCCTACCATCTAAGAATGAAGCTAGAAAAGTATCGAAATTGGTACATGCTCTCAAGATGGGTTGGATCAAATCTACCACTGAAATGCAGAAGGAAAGAGAAAAGAATCAAGGGCCACAGTTTTATATGCTATGGCAGTCTGATGATCAGGCGGAGGAAATGCGTAGGATCCATAAGCATATTCCAGCACCGAAAAGACATTTGCCTGGTCATGCGGAGAGCTATAATCCTCCACCGGAATATCTATTTGATAACAAGGAACTTAAAGAATGGAATAAATTAAAGGCAACTCCGTGGAAAAGAAAGTTACATTTTATGCCGCAGAAATTCAATTCTCTTCGAGAAGTGCCTGCTTATCCAAGATATATCAAAGAAAGATTTCAGAGGTGTTTAGATCTGTACTTGTGCACTAGATCATTAAAGATGAGATTAACGATTGAACCCGAGGTCTTGGTTCCACAATTGCCTAGTCCAAAGGACTTGCAACCATTCCCAACAACAATGTTTATGGTATTTAAAGGACATACAGATATGATCAGAAGCATTACTGTAGAACCAGAGGGTCAGTTTATTGCATCTGGTGGAGATGATATGCTGTTGAAGAGTGAGTTATCTAGTGCATTATATATATATATATTTGCGTATTAATTATTAATTTATATATTTTACGATTATAAATTTTATTTTATATGTAGGCTAATTTAAATCGTATTATTTTAACAGTATGGCAGGTGAGTACAGGCAGATGCTTAAAAACGGTGCCCTGCGGTGGCGTCATTCGAAGTGTTGCCTGGCGTCCAAACCAAGCTATGTCGTTGATAGCCGTTGCAGCTGACAAAAAAGTGCTCTTAATAAATCCTGGAATTGGAGATAATCTTATTACCAGCAAAACCGATCAACTTTTGGAGATAATACCACAGAGTGAAATAATAGGTACTGTTAATTAAATTCGAATTAATTGTTTATGATTTATTACAAAAATAATTTTCAAGTATGACTAACATGCTGTGATGTCATTAGTGAGTGACAGGGTGCAAAGTGCAGTACAATGGGAGCAAGCGGAGGGTGAACATTGGAACAATGGAATTAGGATAATTTTAAATCATTTTAAAATTGTAAAGCAAGTAACATGGCACGGAAAAGGAGATTATTTTGCTACAGTCATGCCAGATGGTCAAAATAGATCAGTTTTGATAAATCAGTTATCAAAACGAAGATCTCAGTTACCTTTCAATAAGTCAAAAGGATTAATACAATGTGTGCTATTTCATCCGATTAGACCATATTTATTTGTTGCGGTAAATATATTAGCAATCAAAATATACAATGGTATTAATATTTCAATTTCACGTAGTCTATATTCTTTTTTAGACACAAAGGAATGTGAGAATATACGATCTTGTACAACAGGTGATGGTCAAAAAGTTATTATCCAACTCACAGTGGATATCAACAATGGATATTCACCCAGGTAAGCTATATATACATATTATCATGGACTATGTTCGAGCTATTGTGCTTGTGTGATCATTGTGCTGTGAATTTTTTTTCCAGGAGGTGATAATGTCTTAGTAGGGACATACGATCGCAAAATGCTTTGGTTTGATTTGGATTTCAGTAAAGAGCCTTATCAAACATTGCGATTACATGGAACGGGCGTACGCGCTGTAGCATTTCACAGACGGTATCCTCTGTTTGCTTCTGGAGCTGATGATAGGGCACTAATTGTATCTCATGGAATGGTGTACAAGTAAGTATATATCTCTGTGCGTAATTAACGCACATTTAATTTTATGCACATAATTTATGACGTTTATTATTATTTTTTAGTGATCTTTTACAAAATCCGTTAATTGTGCCACTGAAAAGATTGTGTAACCACGAATCGTATAATGATTTTGGCATTTTGGATGTCATGTTTCATCCTATCGAACCGTGGGTATTTTCCGCTGGTGCTGACTTTACCATACGAATGTATACATAAATACATGCATATAGATGTTCAGAATTTCTCTTATGGATCATATTGCCGTTGTAAGAAAAAATTATTCTATCACCTTTTCCCCTAATTTTATGTAAAATTCGTAAAATACATATTATCTATTTTTATGTTTTTTATGCTTCATATAAATTCCTTGTAATAAATATAATATAAATTGAAATAGCATATAACAAAATGTAGGAACTTGTATACTTGCATTAAAGTAATTAAACACGTTTGATCAAATTATTTTCATTTTATAACAAATGCTCTATCAGAAAAATAATCGCTATAAAAATATTAAATTATTTTACAAGAGCAAATCATGTCTACTTAAAAATATAAAAGTAAATAAATAACAATTGCGCTATTTTGTATACTAAATTGTGACACATAGTGATGGAATTTTATTTCTCTTTCTCTTTCCTAACAAAGTTTGAATTCTATTTTTTCAAATCCATCAATATACAACATATTAAGATAAAGGAGAATGTCCCAAGCATTGCCATTCGAGCTCGCCGCAATCGCAAGTGCGACCTGCATGTCGAACTTGGAATACGGTAACGATACCTCTACTATCGTCGAATTTGCATGTAATATGTAGGTCATGTATCAAAAAAGTATAGAATTGATTTCCGCCCCATCTTTGTCTTAAATACACCGACCTGGGATCTTCTCTCAGTACATTTTCTATAGCTTGCTTTTGCTCGTCAACTTTGTCATCTAAAATTTCATTTAGTTGCATCAAGGCGCGTTCGTTGAAAATCACGGATAACGTTGCCGTACGAGGTTGCGAGATCCAGTCTGGTACTCTTATCTCGGAAAAATTGCTCTCCGTTGTCGCATTTATCGCCGCAGATGGTACAGCTGTTGCAGCGTGAATATCCGGTAAAGTGCGCGAGGGCGTCAAAGTTTGAGACTCAAGTCCCTCCTCGCCGTCAGGTGCCTCACGTATTCCCATTCTCACGGGAGAATTATCGACTCTTGCGTGTAACACATGACGATTGACTAAATCTATATCGGTACCGCACACCGTGCTTGGTCCGTCAGCTCCATCCAACAGTCTGGAATTACGTAGTGTTTGATTTTCAGTGTAATTAATTTCATTATCGTTATCTCTCTCCGTACGCGTTGAATCTGCATTACCGGAATTGTTTATATCTATGCTGTGTAATCTACTATTTAAATCTCTAATAGAGTCTGTTTGTGATTCAGCTATTAAATTTTGTTCAGTAGACGAATCCAAGTCCGATCTTGTATTAGATTCTCTATTTCGAATAAAGTAAGCTCCTCTATGCACATCTACGTTAGTGTCATTTTGTAACGAGGCATGAGCTTCTGTCGAATGGGAAGACTGTTGTCTCGTAATATCGTAACCATTGAGATTTGGATAAGCTTGGAATTCTTCTACTTGGAGTCTCAAAGCTATTTCCTCGTCCCTAGAAATATCAAGCTCAGTCTGTTCATCGTTATTGACGTCGGTATCATTATTAAAAGAGTCAACTGATTGGCTCTCGCTCAAGTTGAGAGTTTCTTCCATATTGTGGAACACATCTGAGCCATTCGCATTATTCTCTCTCAACCTGTTGCCCAGTTTTTCGATATGTAATGGACTATCGTACTGTGGTATATACGGTTTTATATCTAGAACGGGGGTCTGATTAACCATGTCGACACCTTCAAAATAAATCGTATGATTTTCAATTTTTAGTATTTTAACCAGACTAAGGCCGATAGGGCATGGTCGATGCGGAGAACGTGTAGAAAATACGCCTGTCCTCATTCCATTCAATCTTGGCGGTGCTACTTTTGCACGAGTGTGCGTGGAATCGTTTCTATGAAAGTGAAATAAAATCCTGTAAAGAAAAAGAAAAGAATATTATTTATAGTTTTAATAAGAACGCTAAAATTATTGTATCTTTTAAAAAAAAAAAACCATTTACCACATATGGGAGAAATCTTGCAAGCCCTGTAAAGCATGATCAGGATTCGTAAATACAGAATTGTAAAGCGTCAGCTTTCCCGGTACCCTTCCACATATGCCAGGCTGTCTTGGAGTTGCTCTTTTATTGGGAAACCAGGTAGAGATGATACCAATGGGTTTTAATTTAAGAGCATCTTGATCTTTACTTGTGCCAGGTTTTGCTTCTTCCGAAGATATTAGTTTGGATTGTGAAAGGGTTCCCCCATGTTTTTGTAATTCCAACAAGCGTTTGATATTATCAACATCTTTGTCAAGTATATACCTTAGGCTTTTTACTTGTTGTCTGCAATGTGTTAAATTATTCTTTACAAAATATCCTTAATAAATTATACACAGTTAACTGAATTTTAATTGTCGTTAACTCTTTATCCATTTATCTCATAATTAGCAAAAATATTTCAAAATAATTGCAAGATATAAATATAACAAACGTATATGAGAAAACATTGGTAGGAAAAAAAAAATATATGACACATCAAAATAAAAAGAATTTTTATAACTGTACCTCAGATTATTAATCTCTTGTCTAGCTGTATTCAATTGACCGAGCAAATAATCGGCACTTGTGCTAGAATTCTGGCAAGTCAAGTCCATGTTCGTTGTCGCTCGCATTTACCCGATACTATTAGCCTCTCCGTAATGACAGATAACTGTTGGACGCAGATAACCCTCGCGGAGGACCCACCCGAAGGGTTCCTGACTCCGTACCACGTATTACTCCGTTTACTCCGTACTCCGCGTATAGAAGCGAAAGCGTTCGATTAGCTTTTGTCAGGTTTTAAGACGCGGGGCGCAGCACCGTTGTGTTTCTTAAGCCACGTGTCCACGACACTAGAAATCGGTCCAAATTCTTGGAAAGGGAACTGTGTAGCCAATCAACTTGCAGCTTTTACAGAAAAGCAACAATTTTATTGGCTATACAGTTTTTGGTCCGACAACTTGGACCGATTTCTATAGCATCGTGGATATAAATATATCTTATACATTTAAAATATTAGTTTTCGTTGCTTTATGTAATTGTGTCTCTGAATTCTATTTGTAATACGTTCGACGTCCAATATTTCGATATCCGATAAGCGAGTGTATTTTGAATTTTCTAGCGACAAAAATGTTACTAGCCAAAATCCCTAGACAATAAATTATCTTATTGAACATATTTGTCATCAAGTGTAAAGCCTCCACATTAAGTCCAATTATTATTACGGAATAGCCTTCTTTACGATTTAAAAATATGTCTTTTAATTTCATATTCGTGAGCGCGCGCGGGAGACAACAGACTGTTTTTTGACGCTAGTTTTCCATTTTCCGTGCTGCAACTAGACACCGGCACTTCCGGAGTCGCGCGCAGCTGCGCACCGCGGTTCTTCCGCAAGCAGCAGGCTGGGCAGCAGGCGGCGGTGTGAAACGTGGCGCGCGGCATTGATTTCAGTTTGCTTTTGCTTGGATTGCCGGCCTGGCGAAACGCGTCGCACGTACGCGCACACACAGGCCCAATAAAGAGCGACGAGGACGCGGTGCTGGCTGCGCTGTTGGGGCACTCAGTAGTAGGTGCCTTGGTGCATCAAGGGAAGGGGGGCCTCGTCGGTCACGTGACCGAGCTGCGTTTGAGCGCACTAACCCAGGTACGATAGCCGAATCCGTTGTTTTTCTCGTGGTTTTTCGCGCGCCGCGGCCCCAAGCGCCGAGGTGCCGTGAGTCCCGCACGCTTCCGCTCCCCGTCGCGCCTGCCGAAGCACCCGCACGACGCCCACGACAGCCGTGAGTTGCACGCAAAGATTCTTTCGGCCGCTCGGCCATTCCGAGGCTCGTCGGGATCCATTGATGCACCGCCGCGACGATGGTTGACAAGCCTTCCTCTCGCACATAGAAATGGCGTCCACCGTGCACATGGCCCGCTGAAAGATATTCTCGTCCGTCAGAGTCGATCGCGCGTCTCATTCCCGGGAGCTCCTTCGTCGACGACCGTGTCGTCTCTCCCAGCGAGTGCTGCGTGAGCTGCTCTCCTCTCCGTATACCGCCTCATTTTCTTTCTTTCTCCTCTCTCTCTCTCCCTCCCTCTCCCAGTTCGTTTCTACGCACGGACTTTTCGCAGCGTGTAGCGGCGTGCGCGAGCGGTCGACGACGCGCCCGATGGAGTAGTCTCCTTTTTTTTTTTTTCCTTTTCTTTCTCCTCGGATCTTCGCCGTGCGACGGAAAATTCCTCCGCGAAAATTCCGACGGAAATCCCCGGAGTCGACGTGTAGTGCGTTTCCCGCCGAGCTGTGACACTCATCGTTCGGGTATCCTGAGACGCGTTCGCGTCTCAACGTGTCGCCCAAACCACGGACGATCGTCCGTCCTAACGAGACTCGCGTGAAACGCTCGCTTAAACGCTTGTTTACTCGCGCGACGTATCGTCGTCATCGGTCGACGACGCACCTCGCTCGTTATCGCTCCAAATCGTTGAGGTGATAAGCGTTAACGTTCCGTTCAACTTTCGTCATTTTCCCCGGGGCGCATCCACGTCTTCCGTTATTCCGGACGTTATCCCTAACCTGGTGCTTTCGCGCGTGCTTCAGTACGTATTTTACAAGCGTAATTTGTTCCTGTTGGCAAAAATTTATACATCTGTTCCTTGGCAATCGGCGAAACTTCAGTAGCAGTATTATGTCAATTTTTTTAATTTAACACAAGTTCAGATTTTTTTTATTGTAAATAATAAGCTTTGTATTGTTGCTCACCTTCAAATGTATCAGTAATACAGATATTTCTTACAGTGGCTTCGCCACTGGATGAATTTGTAGTTGATCGATTCATAATCTTAAAGTGAAACTAACTTTTATATATACATATATATACAGACTTTATGTGTAATGATGTGTAAGAATAATATGTAACTTGTATAAAAATCAAGTAATTCACAGAATAATAATAAGCAAAGTACAGAAGTAGCCATATATGGATGCGATAAGGAGGTCTTGAAAATTATTTTTGAAACATCTGCAAATATTCAATTTTTTACATTCCTAAGAGTTATAGCAATTGCTTTGCACAGCAAAATGCTTACTGTTCAGATTTTATTGCTGATCTTTATGTTTTTATTAAAACCACTTTCAAAATGATCGCATATGATTTGTTAACTGTGATTGATCTTCTGATTAATTGCAGTTAATTTTATCCATGTAAATATATAATAGCAAATACATTCTGTTTCAGACTGTAAATAGGGAGTGTACATAGTGATACGGTGAGTGCTTAGGTGCGTGAGGTTTTAGTTGGCAATGAGTTCAAGCAACAAATCCTTGGTGTCCTCTGGTGGAAGAGGCACCAATAAAAATAAATCACAACAACATGGCAAATCTGATCACCATCAAACTAAATCATCAGATTCGTCCAAGCATGACAAGGCCCAGGTTGGTCAGGAATAAATTTGTTGACCTTGTATATATTGACATATTTATTAGTTTATTATTCTCGAAACGGGTTACAATCTCATATTACAATAATATATATTCTTTTGTTTGAAATTGTAACTAATTAATATGTCTTATAAAACAAAGCATATATAATAATGTAGGAAAAAATCAAAGTCTGAAACAACAATTACAAGAGTCAATCCTACCTATAACAAATCATGTCCTCATATTATTATAATGTAAATCTATAAAAATACAAACATGGATTTTTATTAACAAGTATACATTTTTAACGCGAAAGGTTACCGTTTATTTGTGATCAAATATTTATTTTACGAGACTGAACAGATAATAAAGATGTATAAAACACATACATGATTACAATATTTGGAATTTGAAGTCAAATGTTAAAAAAAAAACCATTTGTCACGATTGTTATATAGCAAAACACAAATCAAATGCGCAACGCGCAAATCATCGATACCAGAATGGCGGGAGGCGAGGATCCTATCTTGAAGGAGCGCATCAAGCAGGTCATGGATATGACTCGACGTTCGGAAGACGAGGTGATCATGGCTCTGCACGATAGCGACGGGGATTTGGACCGCGCTGTTAATGATCTTCTGGAAGGGGTGAAAACAGAGTGGGAGGTCAAAAAGAAGAAGCCTCGTCAGCCCAGCGGTTCGAAGCAGACTGCAGATCAGTCGGGTGGGCAGGATGATAATGGCGATTGGGAAGAACGACGTAACCAACGTGGTGGCGGCCCTCCGCGTATGCGTGGTCGTGCCAATCATGACAATCGTGGATGTTAGTTGACTGTTTTTCTATCGAATTCAATTCTATTATTGCTCGAGTCATTTTAGGAACAGGCATATGCAACATAATAGTTTCTCTTCTTTATATAATTTATAGCAAGATTACAAAGATTCCCACTTTGTTATTTTATGAATAAGCAGTAATTTTTGTAAAATTGCTCGGCTAGGGCGCGGACGAGAAAATAAGGAGAACGAGAGGAACATGGAAGATGGTATACGTGACGGCAGCTACAGCAGAAGAGGCAGGGGTGGATCCGGAAGATCGGGCCGTGGATGTCGTAGCGGTGGTAGAGGTCTTGGTCCAAGAACATTCGCGAACCGTAATGATCCATCATCTACCTCTACTGCTCATGGTTTTAATCGGCCCATCGAAACCTGGACAGGCAGTGAGGAACAGCAGCAAAGTATTCAAGAGCCAAAAATGGGTGAGTTTTTTAATTCGAAAATATTTCTTTTTAAATTATAATTATATTATGATTTATACATAAATTATAATATAATATATATATATATATATATATATATATATAATGTAAAATAATATATATATTAAAATTTAAGAGTTATAAATTTCTTTAATAAATTTTACTTTAAGTTATTTTGTTAATAAATTGATTTGAATTTTATATAGAAATCAGTTGAGTGTCATGCACACACACATATATACATATATATGTATGTGCAAAATATATCAAACATATTACATCTATTCGATAAACTGTATACATAGATGCTTGGAATAATTTGGACTTTTCAGAAGACTGGGACAACGAGGAGTACACTGGATCTTTGGCGGACACCAAAGTTTTCACCCCGAGCACGAATATCCTCGAACCTCCGCCTGTTTCAGAAGAACAGAAGTCTCAAGAATTATCATCCACGCAATCGGGTCAGGGAGTTAATCTGTCACTGCTTCAACAGGAGGTAAATTTTCATCAAAAAATATTTTTAGAATATACTTATTTATATACTTATATACTTTATATACTTTATATACTTATTTATATTTAAAATAATATGCTTCTTTTTTACGTGATTTATATAGGAACTACCAAAATTGTCGGACATGTCTACGATGCAGCAGCAGAGTTTGATACAACCTCAGCAACAGCAAGCGCAACAACAACAGCAAGTATTGGGCTTACCGACGATGCAACTGTCACAACAACCCAGCGCTATTAGTGGCGTACTAACAGCAGCACAAACTCAATATCTGACGCAACTTACTCAGCAGACAAGTGAAAACTTGAAAGCAGCTGCACAAACGTCGTTTTCGTCATCTATGTCCAGTCAGGTATTGCATTATTGTCGACTTCTCAAAGTAATGTGTAATTAATCTTTTCGCGTTGAACTATCTGAAATCTTAAATGGTCTATATGTGCTTATATTCACAGCCTCAGAGACAAACGAAACAACGCCCGAGAGTACCTCCACCGTCGAAAATACCATCGAGTGCGGTGGAAATGCCTGGTGATGCGGTGAACAGCGGAATTGGCTTTCTCGATGTGCAGTTCGGCGCGCTTGAATTCGGTAGCGATTCCAGCTCCCTCGACGGTTCGGCGAACGAAAAATACAACTCCACAAGTAATACGATCGCCGGTGTAGACATTTCTTCCGGTGCGAATACTGCGAACACTGCCAATACGAGTAATTCGCTCGACATCGAAACTACGCAGACTTCCACCACACCCTTTAACGCCAGCTCGCAGATGGTAGATTTTATTTTATTTTATTTTTTATCAAATTGTTACGTAGTTATTTGCAAGTATACGTCTTTCGATATCAGGTTACAATTGTACGATATTTTCAGTTACAGAGTACCGATACTCTGCCGGCGTCTAACGAGCACACGATTAGTTCCCAAAGTTTCTCTCGCGGAAGCAGCAGCGCCCAAAGCTTGGATATAACCAAGCAAGATTTCACGTCGCAAGTCTCACCCGGAAATGCGCCAACGTACGGTGGCACGACGACCTATCAGCCGTCGCAAAAGTCATCTTTCCAGCCGTCGAGTGGTACGCCGAGCACCTACAATGCGTACTCGACTAATAACCAGTCTCAGTCTAGCTTCCAGAATGCGTCGGGCGCTAACGCGAGCAGCTATTCCGCAACAGCGACAGTTTCACAGGCGAGTTACAACTCGTCGACGTCGTTTCCGCAATCCAACGCGTCGAACTTCAGTCAACCCTCTCCTTCCGCATCGGCGTCCGCAAGTTCCGGTTACAACCAGCCCACCACTAGTAGCCAGGTATAACTGTTTGAGTCCATAGTATTGAAAATTATATCAGAATATTAATATACAGTTTCTATAAAAACTAAAACATTTTTTGTTTGTTAGGTTTATCCGTCCGCGAGCGGATATGTGCCGGCTACAACATCGCAATATCCAGCGCAGACTACCAACACGGTATCTAATAGCAATGCGGGATATCAAACTTACCAACCTCAATATCAGTCTTCTGTCACGACATTCACCTCTCCAATAACGCAGAGTTCCGGTTACCAGAGTGCCGCGCAGTCTGTTAGTACAAATTTTCGCTGTCTTTTAATGTCAGTTTGTACAGTTTGATAATACAAATTTATGTGTAAAATATTAATAGGTTTACGCGAATCCGTACGGCAGTTATGCCAGCCAACCGCAGGCAACTCACAATCACAAATTGAACAGCACCGCGGCGAAGGATTCACAATACGACAGCAGTACGACGACGTCGAACAGTTCTCTTGCGACGACCAGTGCTCCAACGTTGGGTCTCACCTCGACGTCCGTCAACAGCTCGCAGACTAAGGTTACGAATTCCAATGGTTAGTAGATGTTTGGAAAGTGTGTTATTGAAAGTTTAGTAATCTCCTTGCTATTTGAATTTATTTTTCAACAACAAAAATACGAAAAAAAAAACACTAATACAAAGTACCTCTATTACCTTGGGATTTGTTTTTTAATCCCTATTTCTATCACAATAAAAAATATTTTTCCTCTCAAAATTCTTACATAGGAGTTGTGAACTTTGACAGATTACCTTATCACGAAGCGTCTTGAATGGAGAATAATATGTTTTAATGAAATTACGTATTTTTTTCAGCTGTTCCAAAGAGCACATCGAGTGGAGTGGTGACGGGTAGCAGTGGTACCGGCAACATGACAGGCGGCGGTGCGGCCGGAAGTATGACGCCGATGCTCAGTCACCAGTATATCATGGGCCAGGCGGGTGTACCATATGCTGCTTTCCAGCAACCCGTGTACAGCTATGAAGACATACAACTTGTACAACAGAGAATACCACACATGGTCAGTGACTTTTCGATCTCGATCAGTTCATTTATTTCTCTATTTATTCAAGTATAAATGCATATGCTCTTTCTGAGTAACGCTCTTCTTCGAGGCAATGTACACTGAAACAATAATTTGTTATGTTAATTATGTGTGTAACACATGAATCAAAGAATGCATAAAAAGAAATTATACAATATTATTACGATACATATGTATACTGCCTCGAAGCATGCTTACTCTATTTTATGTTATTATTATCTGGTACGAAAATTCCTGAGGTAATCGTTTCTTTGCTTGGTAGCTGCTCGTAATTCCATTATTCTTTCCAAAATGTTTCAAACTCCTATGGATGCCTTCACGACAACACCGTAAACTCGTTCTTATTTCTCTAGTAGGATGTTTCGTTATAAAATAATTACATTTTAACAAAGATAGATCGGTTTTTCGACATATTACTTCATGCAAAAAGGGTCTTGCCGATGGTGAAAGAACTGGGAAAAAAATATTCCTGGAATTTATTTAATATAATTTAGCTACGAGATTTCGATCTCCGATCTATCTTGGCTTATTTCTCTTTCTTCTTTGTCTTGATGGACTTAATTGTAGGCTGTGTACGAATGATGTTACGTATATGAGGTTACATGAAAGATATGCATTACATTTCCATGTGGTAATATATATAAGTGGTTGATGGAGGTTACACTATACTCTTTAGCTTGTTGTGTTTCGGATATTATATTTTCAATTATATAAACATGAGGAGCGTGTCGATATAGCGGGAAGCGAATGTACTCGTATGTGTATTGCAATTGTACGCGTGATTAGTAGCTCGATCTATCGTGAATGATGGTTTCAGTCGGATGACAGTACCTTGATTACTTTTTTTACACATAGCAAATAGACCCAAGCAACAACCGCATGATACTATCCCAGCTCGGTACGCGTAGAAATTAGACGTTAGTTAGCCTTCTCTTGTATTTGGAGTACACAGTGTATGCATGTAGTTTTGTGTTTGGCCTTCCTGACTAACGTGCAGCCAACTACTGGTTACTATGACGCGGCTCTGGGCTATCAGACGACCGGTCCCGCTACGAGTCTCGGTAGTGGCAGAGGTGATGCTCTATCCGGCGTGCAAGGCGTGCAGGGTGTCCAAGGAGTCCAGGGAGCCTATACCAGTATTAGCGATGCCAGGTTCGCTAGAAACGACAGCAACGCGTCACCAGTTCCTTCCACCATGTCGCAGCAGGTGAGTCTCGTCGATCAGCTTAGAATCATCGTCACTAAAAAAAANAAAAAAAAAAAAAAAATAGTGGAAAAATTTAAAATCGTATGGGATTTGCAGACCGCTACGCAGCATCAGCAGCCGATGATAAATCCTACTCTTCCTCCGGGATACGCATACGCATTTACTTACGGTAGCGGGATTATGCCAGGAGGTTTTCAATATGGAACTCCTGCCATTTATCCGGTAAGTTTTGTGCTTCCAACGAGTACCGCGCCAGTTGTGATTTCTCCCGAAACGGACGGACGAATGCTAAGATCGAGCCGCTTTGTATCGCAGCAAATAGCGACGGCCGGCAACGCCGGGACGAACAGCGGCGCGTACAGCGCTAAGCCGGGTAGTTATGGATCCGGTTACGGCGCCGGTGCGAGTTACGATGCGCTGGCTTCCGCTGGTCCATCCGGAGAGTATAAGGGTGCCGGTAGCAGTTACACCGGGACCCAGACTGGTAAAACTGGCACTTCCACGGGCAACACTAACACCGCTGGCTCTTCCGCGACAGATATCAGCGCCACGATGTATGCCAAGAGTCATGTCGCTCTTGGCAAAGTGAACGTAAGTAACACTGCTCAGAAGTAACCGTTATTAGAAACTGCCCTGTATGTTACCGGCGCGTATGTTCACCCAAATCGGTCCTTTTAGTCTTACGAAAAACAAACTTTCCACTCGGCTACGCCACCACCGTTCGGTCTTACGGGTAGTCAAAACGCTGGCTTGCCCGGTGGTTACGGCGCCCCGCACTTATTCATCCCGACTATACCACATCAGCTGCACCAGCCGCTTCATCAGGACGGCGGCAACAGCGGCAACCAAAGGTCCAACACGAGTTCGCAGAACAAAGCTCAAGCGAAGCCTGGATACAGTCCTAGTTACTGGACCGGTAGCAATTAAAACACACACGGAAAAAAAAGATAAATAAAAGACAAACTTTTAAACGCGATGCAGACGAAGTAAGAATCATAACATCCTACTAGTAAAATAACAAATCGTCCTTTGTTGTGAAGCGCGATGATGTGACATAGAGACTTTGACGTTGTCAATAGTTAAAAAATGACGCATAAAAACATGATAGACAAGAGACTTCACTTTTTTCGAGAATTTAACACGAGTCAATGCGGTATGGAGAGTGAATAACTTTTGAAAATTGAAAGGTATATGCAATTATTGACCGGATGCTTCCTTCCAATGGTAATGAACAACCAATTCCTGTGTATTATGCTGTATGCTACGTTCACTTGTACTTCTATCTATAATTTATTTGTTCAGTTCAGCACACTCGCAAACTTCTCCAAGAGACTGGCGTAGAGCGCGCGATATCACAATAAAATAACTCCTTGCATTTTATGCGGTGGTATACGTGCAAATCCTATATATAAAATAATTTGCATATTCCTTCTAACTGTGAATTGCACTCGTGCCAAATGAAATTGTAGCGTTTGTAAACGCGATGGATTGCGAAAGACGGATTATCTACGTCTCTATTGATCGTGAATTCCCTGACGCGACCATGTCACAGAATTCATGATAAGTCATCTGGTACGTCGTGCGATATGACGAAGCCAGTATCGCGACCTTCTCGTATGATGCACCGGAAAAGAAATTAGAAGAATAACATCCGTCGAGTTCGCACCAGATCTCCCGTTTGTACATTACAGTGCAATTTCGAATGTAATTCTATTTGACTGCTAATTATAGGGTGATTATAGTGTGTCTTTATATTGTTCTCTTTTCTTTTTCTCGTGTATGTAAGCATATCTTGGCTTAATAAATATGAAAAGCGTATCTTTGTGAGGTAGCACATGCGGCAGAGCGGTTTCCGTAAAAGGAGCGAAAATAATGGTGTGTACGCGTGAAACGTACGTATACGCTTGTATAAATTTATTATCGCGTTTTGTAGCGGTTTTATTTTTGGTATGGTTCGCGTCATAGTGAGACCTTGTGAAAAGTATAATCGTTGCACTCGCATACATTTCATTTAAACGCGTTACGTATCTTTGCGATTAGTATTGATTTTTATTACTCCTTATTAAATATGCATATGTCTATTCCATATTATATTGAAATTATTGCATATAATCTCGGTTAAATGGAGGACTATATATGCAACTCGCATTATTTCTAAGTGTAGTTAAAAAAATCAAATATGCTACAAGTATGTAGTAAAAATAGTGCTCATTTATTATTTTTGTACCTGTCTTTATCTTTTGTTTCGCGCGCGCTAGATCCGCACATTCGACTAAACTCGAAGCAAAACGATATATAAGTCTTTTCATAAAATTGACAACAATTACGATTTACGTTTTATTCTATTAGCTCCTGAATTATGGATTACAAGAGTATATCACGTTTCAAATTAGTATATTTTTTATGAATATTATTGTAGTAAAATGTTACTACACTTTTCGTTCTTCATTCATTGATTTAGGTCAATCCTTAGAGAGCTATTTAAGTCATGTAATTGATAAAAATCATATTTAAAATCATATATATGATTGTCAAGAAATTTGTTGGAAAATATTTGTTGGACATATTTAAAAACGTTACGGATTATCATTTGGCATACTAGTGCATTTCTAGGTATACCAAAAAAAATAGATATTCGATTTTTTTTCGAAAAGGAAAGAATCGATTGCTAGATTAACAAGCTCTAAGCTTTATCGTATCTCGCAAAATTTTCGAAGAAAAATGTCAGTGACGTTATCAAATCAAAAGTTACAGCTTTTTTACGGTTCGCTCGAAACAGTAGCCGCATATTCGACGCTCGTTCATGCAGAGCACGTGGTGCGCGCAGAGAGAGAGAGAAAAAGATGACATGTGTATGATGTTTTCCATTGCAACAAACGATCGTACACGTTCTTCGTTATCGAGTATACGCGGTAGGGACGAGCTAAAAATTTGAGAAATCGCGAACGATTAAAATGAAGACGAGACTTGACATGACCGATTATTCAGACGAATGAGCATATTATAATAACGACGTATGTGCAGTAACAGTGATTAACAGCGATATTTGTATCTTTTTCATTGTGAGATTGTAATAAAAAAAAAAAAGAAAGAAAGAAAGAAAGAAAAGAAGCCATTATCGATTCCGTCTGGTGTACACATTCGTTAATATTACATTCATGCTGATTAGAGGTGCGCGAACTGTATAGCTATATACATATTAATCGGAACGAAATAATACACGTATATTGACCAACAATGGAACACACATATTTTGAAGATATACTTTACATTTTTGCATTGTGAATAATGAATGATCGCGCAGATATTCCTCCAGTGAGAAAGAGAGAGAGAGAAAGAGAGAGCGAGAGAGAAAAAAAAAAGAAAGAACGAGAACAAGTTAAAAGCAAAATACGTCGAACGAACGAGAGAAGTAAAAATGTATGTGAAGCGTTTTTCACAAAGGTGCTGTGAGAATTGTTACGACTTGCGTGTACGATAAAACGTGAGGAATAATGTTTCTTCTAGCACGAATACTTGGACCGACTCAGGTCCGACGGTCGACAAAGCTTTATCGCTAATATAAAAGCGAGAGGTAAATAGTTGTAAGTAAACTCTTGTTAGCGAACTGCATATATATACATATATAAATATATAAATACATAAACTCGTATATATATATATATATATACATAAAAAAAATGCGGTATGAGTAGGATGCGTTTTTGAAAAGATCGGAAGACCAAATGTAGATTAGCTTCCTTTTTTTTCGGAGAAAAGTGTAAATCTGTACTCATATGAATTTCTCGAAAGAAAGAAAGAAAAAAAAGAGGGAGAAAATCGGGCTACATTATCTTTGTCGTGGTCCCGCGAACGTGGACTACTATATTATAGCCACTTATTACGGAGTTAAAAAAAAGTACGCGTTCAAATGTACACGCAGCCGGCATCAACGAAGGAGCGATTGATGAACGACTCGGAGAATCAAGTAACGTTTTCGTTCTGTCTTAGTGTATGTTTCATAGTCAACTTCATCGTGTATACTCGAATCAATTTAGGACAACAAAAGAAAGATATATTAAGTGTAATGTATAATGGAAAGTAATGGGAAAAGATGCAAAATATTAACGGGGGAAGCAAAGGCACGAAAAAAAGGTAGATTAAAAAAGAGAAAAAGGGAGGGAAGGATAAGATTCAGAGTTAAAAAAAAAGCACGTTTGTTCTCATATAATTATACATTAATAATTTTTGTATTTTTGTCAGATATTAACCGAGCGAGAGAGAATGCACGATATATGCATTACTCAAACTATTGCTATTATATGATTAATAATAATAATAATAATAGCTACTACTGTGTATAAATATGGATATATAAGAATAAATGTATTAAAGAAGTCCGGCGATTTACATATCCGTGGTGCAAATGCTTGGTATTATGATCCCACGTGTTTAACGTTATTCTCCGATTTCTTCGAAGCAACCTTTCCCCTATTACATCATAAAATTCCTTTATAAATCGTTACGCTGCGAAATATCTTTGTTTTATTTTGAAACTCGTGGTCCGCTCAAATCGATCTATCGATAGTTGCCTCTGCCTCTATCGACGAGTTCGAGTTGGTTCGAGTGCGGCTGAGAAAGTCGAAGCCTGAAGCCATAGAGGGTGACGTAACCTCAAAGTACAAGAGATTGGAAGGAGTAAATAGTTGCGTTTTATTTTTAATAAGTAGTGTTCTTTGGGAGAAAGTCAGACTTTTCGGACGATGGTTGACGTTAAATTGAAGAGAGAGACAGGAAGATTTTGGCGTGGAAGCAAGAACACCGCTGACTGAAGAGGTTACAGGATGTAGACGTCGAGCGCGTTTCGCGATCGAATAAGATTGATTTGTCAATTTAGAATTTAATTTTAAATAGTTGAAACGAACGAACGCAATGAATACATTCCCGATGGTTTTCCTGTTTCACTTTATTCTCGGTGACTGCTCGCGCACGCGTTTCTTAGCGAAGATAATTACCGTAAAGCTTTGCGCTACGCGTATAAATTGCGTCGTGTAGTTGACAGAAGATGATTCGTGTTTCTTGAAATGACGTCTCTATAGATGCAGAGATACACAAAGAAATAAATTTGCGCAAAACTCTACGTACACGTCAATGACGGAAATACAAATCGCCAACGTCGAGGTCGGCAAATCGCAGAAGATGGCCAGTACGTGGCATCAACAGGTGTTCGCGCTCGACGCAAAGTACAATACGCTACGGGCTAACAAGCTCCCGAGTCTGGGTATGTTTAACGCATTATTCACGTCACTTTAATCAATTGAGCGCAGCATTGATTACCCTCTAACCTCTCCTGTTAATTTATAGGTATGTTATACATTCGCCGAAGGAATCAACTGCTTCGGGAGAAGTTTTCTACGGATCCAGAGATTGGCGCACGATACTTGAAACTGCGATCGGAGCTGCTACGGCGGCGTTACGGTGAGAGGCTGGAGCAAAACAGCGTGGGAAGTCACACGATAAGCGAGGAATCGTCGGAGAGCAGAGCGAGGCATCAGCGCGCACAACGAAAATCGACAGCGGAGAGCTTTGCATTCGCCGGGGTCCATCATGTTTTCGATCAGCACAAGGCGGCCGTGACGATGCTCAAGTTCGCCAATAACGATAGGTCGAAATTGTGTTGCGCGTCGCTGGACGGTACGTTGTCCATATGCGAAGTCGTCGGCACGCCTCCGAAGGTGATCGCCCTTCTGGAGGGCCATCGTAACGGTGTGACCGCCCTCGATTGGAGTATCAGCAACGATCTGATTGTCTCCTCCTCCTTGGACGCGACGATAAGGCTGTGGAGAGTGTGCGCGGATGTGGAACCGGCTTGTCTGCGAGTAGTGAACGACCAACAGCGAGCGGAGGTGCTGTGCTGCAATTTCATACCCGCCAATAACAATTTGATAGTGGCTGGCAATTCTCAGGGATTGATCCAGATTTTGAATGTATCCACCGGCATATACATGCGCGGTGGATCCTGCAAGATTGGTGGAAAGGTAAGTTTTTTTTATCTCGACAAAAAGAACGATATGTATTTGAAAAGCAAGCTCATCCAAATGGCTACGTAACGTTCCTAGATTCTTTCCCTGGCATGCGAGGGCAGCGGTGGTTCGGTGATCTGGGCGGGCAACAACAGAGGCGTTATAGTTGCCTTTCGATTAGAACCCGGCATAGGACGGTTGACAAAACTGCAGAGAGTACAGGAGACTGGCGGAATGATAACTAGTCTTTCCTGGCGTTCTTGGCTGTCGAAGGATGCTCCTTGGGCTGCGCTGTTGGTGAGCAGCGCGTGCAACGCCGTGCTGTTATACCGTGTCGCGGACAATCACGGTTCTTTGTACTTCTGGAGAAAGTATCCTGTCAAGCATAGGTATTATTTTTATCATGTACTAGTACATAACAGGCGCACGCTTTGCGCGCGCTGCGTATTGAACTCCATATATCTTCCAGTAACATTTATACCAAATTACATTTTAATTAAACAAATTTTAACAATTTTCAATAAAATGACGTTTTAATCGGCCACTTTTAAATAAAATCACGATTTTTAAGAAAATAGTCACATAATTCATCTTTAAGATAAGCCCAGAAAAAAGTCGGTATTTTTATTTTTCTGAAAGATATAAATTTTTAAACATTGGGGAAAAGAAGCTTCAATGCAAATAACATGGCATTTAATATTTAAAATAATTTTTTTTTGAAAATATTTTCTTATTTTCGTTTACGATATAATACTATATGTTCGCGGTATTTTTTTTGTTTGTTTGTAGACTTTATCCCTTGAGGTCTACTTTCTGTCCACAAATGGGTGCGTGCTTAATAGCCACGGGATCGGAAGATGGTGCCGTTCACTTGTTGGATTCAGCGAGAGAGGGAAAGGCTGCTAGGATCAATCGACTGCATGGCCATGCAACACCTGCTCTAGCTTTGTCCTTTAATTATGACGAGTCTTTACTCGCATCTGCGGATCATGACGGATTGATTATCTTGTGGCGTAATCATCAACGTAATTTATAAAATACGCGGAATCTTTATCAAACTACAAAAAATTGCTTGCATTCAGATTCTTTGAGCTTTAAGCAATTAAATACTAAAATATTAAAATGTAAAAAAAAACTTGTAAAAAATACGCAATGTACAAATGTATAGATTCATATAGGAGATCTAGAGACCAAGAGATTTAGTATTATTGTATATACATTTGTACATATCACAATAAATTGTCGATAAGTAAAAAGTATTGCTTAAAGAAAATTAGGATATTTAAAGATGGATCTGATGAAATAAATTGTATTTTCTGTATAACAATATATTAATTGTTTTCTATTTTAGCTTATGTCATAGTGAGCACGAAGCAGTATCAGTTAATAATAGGTGTGGTAATAGCGAGAGACGTGACAGTACTCGCGGTGCTACGACAGCAGCGATTTGCTTATATAATCTCCTCAATATCGCATGCACTTGTGAAACGACAGTGGCACAAATTCCCACACGGTTTTCGTACGACGCTAAACTATATTTGTATATTTCGATAGTGTCATCGATTCGTTTTAATAACAGTCTCTTCGTGTCCGTGAACGAGTAATTATACAATTATACAGAGATACATTATTGCAAACAAATACTTGTAAAAATTTCTCTAAAACAGCATTTGCGATCGTACCTATGTTTATCGCGCTTCCGCGAGCGATTTTAGATAGAAATATCCTCTAAAAACACACAATGTGCTTATACTGAACTTATAAACGATTACTCGTTTGTATTGCACACTTTCATATGGTATTGTGAAGCAAATATATTTGTAAACGCACAAAGTTATCTGTTAGCATAAAGGTAATTATCTGAGATTCCTGTTATATTACCGCAAAAAAAGGCAAACTTTTTCGTAACATGATCGCTCTTTGTATCACGCATTCGAGTAAAACAAATCAGTTTGACGTATTCTCACTTAGTACGATAGACGCGTACTTTCCAACTTAAATATATTCGCTAATGCAAGAGCTCTTGTCTCGTTTCTTAAATCCAATATAAAAACATATCGGTATACGCATTATATTCTTCTCATCACAGATCTAATAAAAGTAAAAATCTATCAGTACATCGTGTATATATCATATAGAAAATTAGTCGTGCAAGTATTTTCATAATTTTTCCTTCGCCACGAATCTTTATAAGTGGGATGGCAGTCCCAGTATACTTTGCTATACAATACTTTGATAAGGTAGAGAGCAGATTTTTGTTAATATTTAATTAATATCAAGACGTATGACAATATGAGTGTTGGCAAGGGAAAACAAAGAGATGACATGAAAGACGATTATATGGAGCTTCTTATAGAGGAGTCACAAAAATAATCGTGTCGTTCTACAGTAGGCACTACTGCTCATTTAACAATTACACTATAAACAATAATTATTTACACGCGCAACGAATTGTTCATCGTAATTCGATGTAGCTTCTACAAATCGGATTGTCTAGAATTAATACTCATATGTTCACTTTTTACACAGTCCCTTTCGTTATTACTTACTTCGTACTATCGTGACTAAACCGTCATACGGATAGAAAGCTTTTAATATATAGCGCCGCGACTATCTGTATATCGATACGTTTTTCCGTATTTGTTACAGAACAATCATATAACAATTCCGCTAACAAGATCCATTAGACAACCGATCGACTTGTATAGCCTCGAGTAATATTCGCTACATCTCCTTTCTTATATACATTTGTTCGAGATTCGTGTCGTGGTAATAATCTCATCGGTGATAATCAATTGGATCGCGTGCGTTAACAAGGAGAATCACCACATTTTTACGACGAGATTGTTTCGGACGGACTTGGCGTAACTAAACTGTCTTTCCTAAAATTTCATTACAGACTTTAGTCTCATTTTTTTTTTAATCACGAGCTAAAACACTGCACTTCTCGGTGGGTTCCAGCGTCTCCTGACTATCACACTGGGAAATTCTTGTAGAAGATGAACCGACCTGAACATCTTCATGAGGCACCTTTGGCAATGTGTTATCGTCGTTCGTTGGACTCGATACTGTACATTGGTCCTGCGTGACGACTTTGTCCACGAGTTCTGATTCGTGATTTTCTTTAACGTCTAACTGCTCGTCGTCCGCGAGTGATTGTCTCGCAGGAACGAATGGGGTGGACGGTGTACCATTTGACGATACCAAATTTAATTTCAAACGATCTCTAGTGTGTCTCAATTCTCCTAACTGGTGCTGCTGACACTGGTCGTATTCATGCGCGAAATCAACGTTGTTCTGGTGTAGCTCTGGTCGGCATCCATCCGTTTCATCCCGATCGTCGGACAACGAAACCGCGTTTGCACCGGGAAAAAATTGACTGACGTACTTACTTTCGCCAGTTTGGAACTGAAAGGGTCGATTCGAACTAGTCACAAAAAATTCTTCGTTTCCTGTAACAAAAATAAACACCGTCACGCATTATATAGGCATTGGAAAAAAAAACGTGATATATCGTACGGCAAAATTCACACGTACCAGTATGATTGGCATCGTCATAATCTAAAGGATATAGATCTAATCGCGGTTCATTCATCATTTCTTCCCAATCTAAACATAAAGAATATCAACATAAATAAATCGTCATAAATCGTCGAATATAGATATTTATCTTTCTAATGTTAACTTGAGAAAATTATTTTTCATGGATCACAAAACGTTTATCGATTATATGCAAAAAGTATACCAGAGTATGACGTTGGTTCCGAGTTGGTAATAGTATCCGCTTGACTGTCCGTGGGTAATGTTTCCTTCGGGTACTCATACACGCACTGATAGCGTTGCTTCTTGAACCACACGCTCTTCTTCTGATCCTGGACAAATCGTGCATTGTTAGTCTGATCGTAGAGAAATACATGTTTGAATTACACCTATATTTTTAGCACATGTCTCGCGTGAATATTTATAAAAAGTACGTGCGCTAAGTACCTCAAATTAAATTTCTGCAAGGGAAAGAGTCACGGGAGAGGAATGTTAAAATTACATGCATTGCTCTGTACTTAAGTAATCGACACACCTACCAACTCATCCTAGCGGCAATTAAAAGAACAAGAGGGACATCATTAATGCGATAGAGGGATATACGCGAATAATTTTGCATATTTTTTTTATCTGTCTGATGTTTACCCCCGATTTTAACGTTTTGTCCGGAGACCTCAGTGCCGATCGATGTGGTGCTAAAGCAGCATTCCAGGCCGAAGGTGTAAATTCTTCTTCTTCCTCCTCGTCCTCGACGGCCAATTCTTCTTCTAACCCGGCATTTGTCGCCGTGTTCGTTTTGTCGTTATTCACAGTACTTCTGATTCGTATCTGCTCGATATGTAGCTCGTTATATCTCTGAAATGTGAAATATAAATTTTGATTTTAAGATTTGGAAAAAAAAGAGATAATTTAATGCCAATATTTTTGAAGCAATACATACCTTCCATACAAATTCACCGGAACTAGAACTGTTATCCTCATCTTCTTCTTCTTCTCCATCTTCATCTTCTTCCTCCTCCTCCTCCTCCTCCTCCTCCTCTTCCTCTTCCTCCTCTTCATCTTCATCTTGACTACAACATTCGCGTTCGGTGACAAAACTCGTCGACATCAAATCATCTTGCAAAGGCAAAGGTAATGGGAAAGACGAAGGTAACTGTTGCCATTTGGATTCCTCCTCAGGACTCGGTAACGGCGCACCTCCGGTCGTTTTCACGATACGCGACTTATCCTCTAACGGACGTGCTACTGAACTAATGTAATCTAAATTTTCCTCTTCGGACAGATCGCCATTCGTTGTATCTCGATCATCGTCCTGTAATCGTCCCTCCAACAATACCATTTCATTCGTACGAGTATCTACCATTAGCACATCTTCGGACGGCATCGATTCTCTTGAAGCGACGGATGTTTCTCTAGAGTTCGACATTAAAGACTCAGAGGTGACGGTGCTTTCTCGCTCTTCCAGGATAGGACTAAGCGGCGTTCCATAAACGTTGTACCTGAATGAGATAGAAAAATTCATGTTATACTATAATATAAAAAGAGAAAATCCATTTTAATTCTCATATTTAATTCTCTGTTAGATAATCTATTTTCAAAGAAGCGATACCTAATCGAAATGTCTACACCTCCGCTAACTTGATTGGCCAAATCTTCACAGTCCTCATCGTCCCACTGTTTGCCGTACGCGTCGTCGGAGATGGAAGAATTTTCGTCGTCGTGCGCTTCCAAGGATTCCACGATCTGCATCTGAGCCTGAGGCAACTTCTCCCTGAGCTCGTTACGAATCGCCGTTACGAATTCTTCCTCCATACCGAACGACACGTATGAGTTATCGCTACGCAAGCTCACCGTTGAACTGTCTTCATCCTCATTCTCATAATCTCCCTGCGAGCACTCATCTCGTTGAGTATTAAAGGCGTCTAATTTTAAGGCGCGTGTCTCCGCTTCTGAATCGTGCGATTGATGGATATCAATTTTGGCTGTAAACTCCTGCATTTCTTCCGGAGTTACACTCCTCTTTTTCATCTCGATGTCTTCTATCATATTTTCATGTTTTACTTTTACCCGATTTGGACTCTCCTTCGTGTCGTTCATTTGAATCGACTCCGAATTAACGTCAACATCAACAGAAGCGTGATTTAAGTTGGAAGTACTCTGTTTCGAAGGCGATATGCTCTTTTCGATGTCAGGTGTGGAAGTTACACCTTCCGTTATACTTTCAGGACCGCCGGGTGTAGCGTAATACTCCGCGTCGAGAATAGTGTCCAGCTCGAATAGAATTTGGAATGGCTCTTCTTCGGAATACGACGACCTGGAGACCACAGTGCTGTTGACCGAAGACAAGGGATTGCCGGATGTTGAACAAACCGCTTCCTCCTCCTCGCAAGACTCCTTGTCTCGGAAACCGGAATCGGAACTCTGCTCGTCATCCGGAGTGGACAATTGCTTCCTCTCCTCCTCGTCGTCATTTGGCAATGGTTTTCGTTCTATTTCCGCGTTTTCTACCATAGAAAAGCTATCGTCGGCGGTATAAATCGAATAGACGTTAGAAAACTGCGGTGCTTCTGGCGTAGATGCAGTCAGTTCCGGTGCGTTACTAACATTACTCTGCTCAGTCGATGCGTCTATGTATTCGTTGAATTCTGCTTCGTCCGAGAAGCCTGGTACCTTGTGCTCTAAAGCGGAATCTAACGCGTGATTCCAAAGTAAAACGTCTACTGCATTGGTCTCGGCATTATTCGAAACATGAAAATTATTAGAAATATCGTTGCTGTCCCCTTTGAGGGGTACATTGCACGTCTCACGATCCTTTATTTGCTCTACTTCTCGAACGGAGGACATTTGGTCAGGTACATAGCGAAGAAGGGGGAGGTCCGGATCCCCCTTCGACAATAGTCTTAATACGTGCTTCTCGCCGCCGCGTTGCGTACTATCCGCGTTTACATTAGATTGCGCGCCATCGTTATTCTCCGGAGTTTTTTCCGTGCTGTTTTCCAAGGAGAGACGTAAGATCGGCGTCTGTCCTTGATCTATGGTCAGAGTTAAGAGCTTCGGCCGTTCTAAATTTTCCAAAGACCGGACTTTATTAGTGGCATTGCTCGGCAAAGGATCTCGTAATTTCTTCAACGCCTCGTCAAACTCATCCGCGGGTACAGTATGTCTGAGATCGCTGTCGCTACCGGTCACAGATAACTTCTTCTTGACGCTCTTCTCCGTTGTTTGCGCCCCCAATGACCATTCCGCGTCGGAGTCGGGATCGATGTGTACGAGCACCATGAGATCCGTGACGGACTTGGACTTCTGTTTGACTTTTTCAGTGTAAACACCCTTTTCGATTCGACCCTTCCAGCTTTCCTCCTCGGTTTCCGAGCCGGACTCTTGAAACATCGTGGCAGTCTTCATTCTGGGGATATTCCTCACCTGTTCGTCAGGTCCAAGGCGAAACGAAGATTGCAACGAATCTGTCGTTTGTGCGTCATCCACGATGTGAGTCCAGTAGTCGGAATCGATACTACCACGCAGATCTTGTAAGCTAGCACTGCGTACGTGCTGTTTGCACGTGTTCGCGCGAAGGCTCTCCCATCGTTGCTCGAAATCAATATGCGCCGAATGTTCAGTCGAGAGAATCTGCTTCACGTCGTCCAAGGAAGGTCTGTCTTTCGCGTTGACATTCAAACACAAGCGAATCATTTGAAATACATTTGGCGGACAATTAGTGAGATAATTTTGCAGCAGTCGCGTGCCATTTGGTACAAATTGTTTTTTCAGAGATAGGATCATCTGAATGACTTGTTCGTCGTTAATATCGTTGTAAGGCCTTTCTCCCCAGCTGACGATCTCCCAGAGGAGTACCGCGTAGCTCCACATATTGGCTTGTAACGTGATCTCTTGCGTTTCGATGGTAGTGTCCGTACAGTTTAAACTTTCTGGCGCGGACCATCTGATGGGCAGGGCTCGGTCTCCCACTATATAATAGTCTTCGGAATATTTCTCGACACCGGTACCGTAATCGCCTAGCTTGGCTGACAAGTCTGGAGCGACCAAACAGTTTCTCGCGGAGAGATCGGTATGCGCGAAGCCGTGATTATGCATGTGCTTTAAACCGGATGCGATCTCTACTGCAATTCGTATCGGAACGTTTTCCCTGGTGAGTGCTTCCCTCGATTTGGTATCGCGATTCGACCGCAAGAAACCTTTCAAATCGCCAGCCGGACACGACTCAAATAACAGAAGATACGGATCGGTTTCTAGGCAAAATCCAAGTAGAGCCAAGACATTTTGGTGGCGTAGCTTCAAGTATGGCGTGGCCTCGCCGAGAAACCAAGCCTTCTCTCTGGTAGTAGCTTCTTCAGTGAGAATTCTTACTACCACGCCGCCTGATTTCGATATACCTTTCGACTGCAAGTCCGCGCGACCCTCAACGACTTTTCCGAACCATCCGTGTCCTATTTCTCTAAGATATTTGAGTTTCTCTCTGGGGACGTAAAGCTCGTTGGAGTTAAACCATTCGCTGCATGGTTCCTGTAGAATAGAGTGATCCGTATCTTGATCTTCAATACGCGGCGTTGACAAAGGTATTGTTTTATGTTTCGGAGTGTTTCTAGCTCCAGACACGATAGATTCCACTGGTAAAGGTTCAAATTGAACTCTCTCGGAAGCAGCTAACGTTCTGGAGGCATCCAATTCCAATCCTTCGATAGACCGATCAAACGCATTTTCCTGTCCTGTACTGCTCCCATCTTTGAATTCCTATAATGATAACAGTGCCGTTTTATGTGCTTTTGTACGACTTTATAGCATGCTGCGATACAGGCATAAATATTTCTTGCTAATATACTACGCATGCTACTCATAAATATATCTAAAAAGGAATTAGAAAACTTAGGGCGTCTCTAATGCTTATTGCTTAATTGCAAAACGTATAATCAAATCATCAATTTAAGATTAAAAAAAAAATCATCTCTACATTAAATTATATAGATCTAGCCCAACAGTAATATATGATTATATTAATTGTATTAACTGTACTAGACTTTATCTATAAGAACTTGTCAAATATAATTTACATAAGAAATGCAGTTTTTCATTACTTATAAACAGATATAAAAAATTTAGCACATATATATACATAATGTCATTGATGGTTTATATAGATAGAGTCTGTACCACTTTCAAGATTAGCCAAATATTAATTTCATTTATATTTTCATTCCAACTGACAATTTGTGTGGATCCTTGTATGTGAAACATATAAGGAACCCGCAACATCAATGTTACCTGATTGCATTTCTCTGCTTTGTCCTATAATTAAAAAATGCAGAGACTAGTGTTAGAGTTCTCTAAAACAATGACATCACTTTTTCTATGTTAGAGTTACGTAAAAATCTCTCCAAACTACCTGAAATCCTTTAGGTCTTCTATGCCTTTGGCAACAAAGGCATCCAGCTAGAGTTAATGCCGTGGCGGTGACACTCAACAGAGTAATCGCGTAACGCATCCAATAGTGTTCCCATTGCCAGGAAGCACGTGCGTGTGGTGAATCTACGATGAGAACAGTCATTTGACTCCGAGAACAAAATCATTCTAGCTCCGATAACATTCGAAACCACTGCCATACGTGACGTTGTCAATGTCACTTGTCAATGTCATTTGCAATTTTTTTTCCCTTATTTCAAAGGAGAGAAAAGGGAGGAAGGCAACATTTAAATCTTTCCGTTCGTGGAACAGAGTATGCACATGTTCAAAACAGAACATGTTTAACAGTAAAGCAATTGACATTTGCGGCAACGGTGTGTACTTGCGAATGACGTACCAACGACGAGCGACGAAGGTACTGGGTAGGCTGCGAGTATCGGTAGACCCACCCAAAACAGCCAGCACATCCGACGTAGGTTCTGCATCGCGTTGATCGGGACGCGTACACCGGGAACACACGTTCCTTATCGTCCACGTTACGAGCTTGGCGTTGACAAGCTTAGGTCATTCTCGTGTACGCCGCGACGGTGACGGCGACAAACCGCGCACCCAGGGACGGCGTTTCGACAGTCGTGACAGACGTTACGCGGGCTGACAGCGCGCTCATAGTCCTCGCCCCGCGTGCACCTCGCGCCTCCGTGAACGGCGCGGTAGCGCTGGCGAAAAGTGGCGAAACGTACGGTACGGGCACGGTCTGTCCGGGCCGTGCATGACACACACGGTACTCCCGCAGCGGTGGCGTCGCCGACGAGCTTCTGACGACACTGGCAGATCACTCGCGCATGTTGCGAAGAAACGTGCCAATTCCTTGTCCACGCCGAGCACTCTCGCGCATCGTTTCCACGCGGAAAAGCGCCCGCTCAGAGGGGGAGAAAGCGCCGACAGATATCCCCTGTCTTTACGCGTGCCGACCGCGTTCATGTACACATCTGGAGGGCTGCGTGGAGGGCTTACGTACGTTTTGTGTATGTCAAAAAATTCGTTCAACGTTATCCCACGGACTAGGAAACAACTGGGATGTCAAGTATCTACTCGAGAGAGGGGATGTAGATGATTACATGAAAAGGACGAGAGTCCGATGAATCCGATTAGCGATGCGCCATGTTGTTGACACAGTTCCTGACGTAGTAGTGAATGAAGAGAAAAAAATTAATTGGTCGTCGGTAATCAGCAATATGGCGCGCTACATACGTTTATCTATTATAGCGCATTCGAGTTACCGACATCGCGCGGGAGCGTTTTGACGCAAAATGTTTGCTGCGATTTGTTTTAAATCCCACATTGTTTAAAAATTAATTTTGTCAATGGGAGAAACGCAAATTAATATTTGATCGTATAAAAGGTACTTTATTATTTTAGAAATTAATTGTTATATATTCATGTAAAAATTGGCCAGTAGATGCTAGGCAAACAATATAACTCATGATTTGAGAAATAAAATATACTGCGTCCTTACGAGTTGATCATTTTTATCGAATTTAACTTTGAAATCTTTAAATTAAGCATTTAAATTTGCGCTAGGAATTAATTTTGTATCATGCCGATCGTTGAGATGGCGCTGCGATCGAAGACAAGTGGACAAGTGTTGTATTTCGTCTATGTACGATATAGTTAATGATGTTTCTCCACGCCATCTTGAAAAATCCTCTCTCGACCGGTCTCGTCGTCTTTCCTGCTGTGTGCACGTGGTATGTATACTTTGATCTTTATTATTGGATTTCTTTGAATAATCCGCGGTGTCAGACCATGTATTTTATAATCATATGATATATTTTAATTTATCAAACGTCTTTGCAATATTACTTGCAGTCGTCTTTTATGATCGATATACATGCATACGTGTAACCTATATTATCTATACATATTCTGTGCACGGATGTACTCTAGCTTTTTAAAATCCTTTGTTTTTCATTATATTATTTGTTTTTGATTGAAAAGAAATTTTGCTTTATTACGTAAACGTTGAAAATGATGACAATCATCGAGATCTATGAACACCATGATTTGCACAATACTTGCATACTGATTAGTATTTAAATTAGCCTAAAATTTCAGTAGAAAATAGAAAGCTTTATTAATACGGTTATTTTATTATTTAGGTGGTCTGCAAATCCGAAATAAAGCAATATCTTGAAATTAAATGAAGGTATTTATATTTTTATGTATCATCTTATATTTTGATTATATGTTAAATGATGTTGCTGTAATCACCAAGATCTATGAATGCTGTGATCTCAATTTGCTACTTCTGATATCATAAAATTTAGCAAGATATATGATGCTATATATTGCTCAGTAACTAATACAGAATTTATTTTTAAGGTTTGCTTCCTCACTAAATTCCCTGAAATTTGTAATGGCGACGACTACAGGTAACTTTTATTTATCACATAGATCTAATTTCTTCAATTTTGTATTTCATAATATCTGAAAAGGATGATAATTATCTAGTAAGATATGCTTGTTAATTAATATATATAGTGTTTATTAATTGTTAACATTAATCTGAAATTTATGTAAAAATAGCAGTATATTAGTATTTAAGAATAAAATTACTTTATGACAGTTATTATCCTTTTATTTTAGAAGAAAATATTTTTCACTTCACAAATCCTTGATATCCTTCTGATATCCTTATCAAATTTTTTAACATTTTTGTATTATAATTATGAAATATTAATTGCAAGATTAAATTATAAATAACAAAATATTAAAGATAAAATAATATATAATTAGTATCTGTTTCCAAAGAAAAATCTTGGGAGAGCGTATATTTTTTTATTTTTGTTTGAAATTTTCTAGAGATTTTGTCGAGATAAAATTGGGAACAGAACTTATAACTATATAATTAAGAAATGTTTGTATTTAAGACTTGCGCAGTCACAAATACTTTATCTGCGCAAAATTTGTATGTTTAATTTTTTTTACACCCAGAAATCGTTTATAAAAAAATTTCTTTATATTAAATTGAATATATTTACTAAAATTATTCGATTAAAGTTGGACGAAATTTTTCGTCTTATCTTTCGTTATTTTGAATTCGTAAAATTGAATGCCGTTTGTGGTATCAGAGAAAATGCATCGATGCGGAAAAGGTGCGCTAATATGTGTTTACACGAGTAATGAAAGGACGAGCGTTTCCCCAGGCTGATTATCCTGCGGTGAGAGGACCAAAAGGACTCGCGCTCGCTACGTGCGAGCTATTTCCGCGTCAGCCCTTTTGCCCGTTCTCCTCGAGAAGGGAGAAATCGTAACGCTTTAGGATTGCGGTTCGCCTCGTTTGCGAAGCTGTACGTTGCTAACTGCACCGCTAACGAGAGTCGGGCGGGAATTGCAATAGCCACACGCGTCGCACTATGACGTCTTCTCGCCGTTCAACTGAATAAAGCCTGAGCTCTCGACTGTGTACGGCTTATTAATTTAACTTGTCGCGTTGCGAAGTACCTCGGCGGGGTCGCAACTGCTGAGGAAGCTGCGCCGATCGATCGCTCGTAACGTCTATTAGCATGTAAACGCCATTCGTGAATAATAACTGCTGACTACGCTCAGAAATGTTTAAATCTCTAATTGGAATATCGGTATTATTCATTTATTGTCGGACGCATCAATATTTGATTTTGTGTCCAAAATTAATGATCAGAGACGTCCCTTTGCGACAACAAATTAACAAGAATTCAACATATTAAAACAGCATAAATAATTAATAACTTATACAAAAAGATAACGTAAATAACACTTTAAAGCTTCTTTCGTTGAACTGAAAAAGAGAAACGTGACGAAAATGTAGAAAAATAAAAGCTTTCCAATCGGAATAAGACGCAGTGGAACCCTTCGGCAAGTGCAACAGGGATTTAAGTACACGGTGCACGGAACAAATGGGCCTCTTCGGGATTTTCATTCGGCCTTTGCCTGATGGAAATATGCGAAAGAGGAAAAGAAAGCTCGAGGCGATATCCTTTGCGGCTTCTTTCAGCTTCTTCAGGATCCCGAGATTCGATGAGATATATCGGAATAAAACGTAAAAAGTAGAATAAACGTTAGCGATACACGATGAAATTATATTGGGTTTACCAAAAAATGATAACCGATTCTATGTTGTAAGTTCGATAAAAAGAAAGATTTAAAGCTGTTATTTATTACAAAATAATTAGTAAAATGATAAAAATATAATAATTATCGTGAAATCGCTGTAAGGAACAGTTTGGACACACATTCAAACACTTTAATGCTAAATTTTGCTTTATTATCATAAACATGCTTCTCCTTATTGTAATTTATGAATCGGCCCATCTATTTTTATGTTTTATATTGTGTCTCGCGGAAAAAGGGCCATAAAGTCTCCCGGGGAATTATGAGAGGTGATATATACCATTATGGAATTCTACGGAGGATGGAAAATGCTATTCTCCAAGTACTCCCTGTTCCGAATTACAGCGATTTCCGGCGAAGCTGCTCAGCATCCGCGGCGGTGGACCAGAATTCCGTAGAAATTATGACAATTAGTGCAATTAAAATTGGTTCACAACTAATTTGAATTTGCGTACCTACCGCGTAGCGGCCGCGTAAACACGGTACAAGGCATCATTTGCAAACAATGTGTAAATTAATATATCTTTTATTAGAGCATTATGTTTGTGCGCGCGCACACGCTTTTGTAAGCGAGCAATCTGATACGATTCATAGAGCATTATGAATTAAAGTATTTACAAATAGAGAAATCACATGCACTAAAGCTTCGTACTCGAAACAAATAAATGGCATTATATTAATAACTCAAATAGAATTTATAAAAGAATTATGAATAGAGAATATTGAAATACGAAATCGTTTGTAATTTTTTTCATTAAGTTATATTAAATTTAGTCTTGAAATTATGGTCATAAAAAATGCTACAGTATGTATCTTTTTTTATGTACATAATTCCGGATTCTTTTAGATTTTATATAAAGAATTATATATAAGAAAGAGAGGATTATATTGATTTAACCCCCTCGGGGTTAATGCAAAGGCTAATAATGTCCGAATGCACTATTGCCTATGAACTGAAGGTTCCACAAAAATGATCATCTCCGGAGGGAAAAGAAAAAGGATCAGACAAGGAGGAGAAACCGGCAAAAGTGGAGAAGGACCGTCGTTCTTCTTGTTGGCAAAAAAAGGAGAGGTCGACTCATGAATAATGCGGGGGGGGGGGGGGAAAGCCGGCTGAAACAATTGCCGGGCGTCGCCCTACTCCAGAAATTACATCGTCAGATTTTCCGCGAAATTAAAACATTATACCGGGTGCCCGAGCTATCGCGTGCTCCCCGCGTCAGTCGCAGATTTTCTCAGCGAATTTCTACTTCACGGTCTTGCAATTTTTAACATTAAATGCTTCCGTAAGCGTAGAGTGAAAACGATTTTAAGACATTCGTGTTAGATAAGGAATAGCTTCCCATTTTGTCTATTCATGATCTTTGTAACTTATAATTTCTTTATTTTTAATTATCAACTCAAAGATAATATATAGGTATATCTTGATGTTAAAACAATTTTAGGTATTTTTCTTTTAGGTACTTTTTTCATTTTTTTTTTATATTTCTTATTGTAATTATAAATATTCTATCAATTCACTGCGCGCCCTCGCGTGAACGATTTTTCTCCCACATTTTGAAAATTCCAGAACTCCCTCCTTTTTCTCTAATTAATGAGAATACCTGAGACACAGTGTATATTTCATTCTTTTCTACTCGGCCACTCGTTTTCCCGTCTTTTCTCTCGCGGCCCTTTTCTACTTACGCGATACGTCAGCTCGTCCGGGGGAAAAAAATCGCCGATTATGCGATCTGACTGACGGCGATACGCCGGCGAGGACACTTTTCCTCAGGATTTAGTAGCTCGTTCTTGCCAAGGACGAAATTGCGAGGCTGGCTCGAGGCAGCTGCCGAGCAATTTCTAGGATAATGTTGGCCCGGTTATTAAACGTCCTTATGGTCACCGTCGCTTTCGTAAAACACATTTTCAGAAATCGAAAGAGTATAATTGCGTGTTGGACTTAAAAAGGATAAAAATTCAAAGGCTGAAGTCGTAATTGCTACAGCCGTCAAAAAGAAGGAATACAAAGTACGAGGAGACGAAT